GCAGAGAGATTGAATGTCAATGGTCAGAGTTAGGATCTTCCCTTCCTCCTATACTCTACAGGACTCCTCACCTCCCTCACTCTTCCCTTCCTCCTATACCCTGTAGGTATTTAAATCCTGGGCTTGGTGTCTCCTAATACCCGCTTGTCTTATTTCACTCATTTTCCTGCATTTGACCACCTGAATGCAGCTCTGTGGGCCTTGGCACCATCGATAATCCAGACTGACTATTATTCTCCCCCGCCCTGCCCGCTCCACCATCGAAGGTTGGACCTCCAGCCTTTCTTCCTCCACCCTCTCGAACTCCATCCCAGAGCCCCTCCACATCACCACTCCCTTGCCCCCTTCAAAGCCTGCCTCAAGACCTTCCTCTTTCACCTTGCCTTCGGTCAGCTTCCCCCAGCCCCACCCTCCCTGCCCTCCACCCCTCCTGATCCCAACCCCCAGCTCGGGTGCAAACACAGCATCGTTAGTAGAGGAATCCGGGAAAAGTTAGAGGCAATCTCTTCACTCGCAGGCTGGTCAGTGTTTCAAAGCCCTCGTGAGTCCCGTCACCCCCACACCCTCCCCCCACACCCTCTCCCCCACTCCCTCTCCCCACTCCCCTCCCCCCACACCCTCTCCCCCCCACACCCTCTCCCCCACACCCTCTCCTCCCCCACACCCTCTCCCCCACTCCTTCTCCCCCACACCTTCTCCCCCACACCTCTCCCCCACTCCTCTCTCCTCTCCCCCACTCCCACTCCTCCTCTCCTCCCCCACACCCTCTCCCCACACACCCTCTCCCCCACTCCTCTCCCCCCACACCCTCTCCCCCACTCCCTCCCCCACTCCTCTCCCCACACCCTCTCCCCCTCCTCCCCCACACCCTCTCCCCCACTCCCCTCCTCCCCCACCCCTCTCCCCACACCCTCCCTCACACCCTCACCCTCACACCCTCCCCCACTCCCCTCCCCCCCACCCCTCTCCCCCACACCCTCTCCCCCTCCACACCCTCTCCCCCCTCCCTCCTCCCCACACCCTCTCCCCCACCCCTCCCCCCACACCCTCTCCCTCCACACCTCTCCCCTCCCCACCCTCTCCCCCACACCCTCTCCCCCACACCCTCTCCCCCACACCCTCTCCCCTCCACACCCTCTCCCCCACACCCTCTCCCCCACCCCTCCCTCCACTCCCCACACCCTCTCCCCCACCCCCTCCCCCACACCCTCTCCCCCACACCCTCTCCCCACTCCCCTCCTCTCCTCTCCCCCACACCCTCTCCCCCACTCCCTCCCCCCACTCCTCCCCCCACACCCTCTCCCCCACTCCCCTCCCCCCCACACTCTCTCCCCACTCCCTCTCCCTCCACACTCTCTCCCCACTCCCCTCCCCCCCCACACCCTCTCCCCACTCCCTCCTCCCCCCACACCCTCTCCCCACTCCCCCTCTCCCCCACACCCTCTCCCCACTCCCTCTCCTCTCCCCCCACACCCTCTCCCCCACTCCCTCCTCCCTCCCCCACACCTCTCCCCACTCCCTCCTCCCTCCCCCACCCCTCTCCCCCACTCCCTCCCCCCCCACACCCTCTCCCCACTCCCCTCCCCCCACACCCTCTCCCCCACTCCCTCCCCTCCTCCCCTCCCCCCACACCCTCTCCCCACTCCCCCTCCCTCCCACACCCTCTCCCCCACTCCCCTCCTCTCCTCTCCCCACACCTCTCTCCCCACTCCCTCCTCTCCTCTCCCCCACACCCTCTCCCCCACTCCCCTCCTCTCCACCACTCCCCTCCTCTCCTCTGCCCCTCCACTCCTCCACTCCTCTCCCCCATCCACTCCCCTCCTCTCCCCCCTCCACTCCTCCCCCCCTCACTCCACTCCTCCACTCCTCTCCCCTCCACTCCCCTCCTCTCCCCTCCACTCCTCCCCTCCACTCCCCTCCTCTCCCCTCCACTCCCCTCCTCTCCCCTCCACTCCCCTCCACTCCCCTCCTCCCCCCCCCCCCCCCCCCTCACACAGCAAACCCCGCACCACACCACAGCGCAGTGTTAATAACAGCAATATAGACCTTGATGTACATTAACACCGGCAGCAGTGCAGTGCAGTGCAGTCCGGTTGCTGTCCCGGTGTAAACCGCGCACACGGGTACGTGGAGCCATCCAGGATACACAGCGCCTGTTAAACCACAGCGCAGCGTTCGCATTATAGCAGAATATTAATATACCGCAGCGATGTCGGCGATGCGTCAGATGTACACCATAATATAAGCGGATAACCGAGTCACGTTTAACAGCAGTCACTTTGGCGAGTGAGTGGCTGTGGGTGAACGTGAGTGCAGCTCTCGGGGTGTTTCTGGTTCAAAAGTTCTTTTGAATCGCCGCAATAAATTGCGGAGTCTTTCCGTTAGTTTTCCCATCTTAGATTCCCCCCTCCACTTCCTCAGCCCAAATTTTTACACCCAGTTTCTCCAATCAACCATTCCCTTATCTTCCCCAAGTGCGGATGAGATGCCGCGTGTTCTCTCTCTAACTCTGCAGTCGGGCTTCGTGGAAGTGTCTCAGGTGCTCGTGTCTCGGGCGATTTATTCTGAAGGGCTTTTGGGCTTGAATGTGAAATAATAATAATAATAATCCTTGCATTTGATAGAGCGCTTTTCACGTCGGGAGGACGTCCCAAAGCGTTTCACAGAACACACTGTAAAGTGAATTGACTGTATATTTGTGGGCGAACGCGGCAGCCAATTGCGCACAGCAATGTCTCACAAACAGTCGTGGATTGAAAATGACCAATTTAGTTTTGGTTTTGGAGGGATTATTATTAGGCTCTGTGTGGAGTAAGGAAACTTGTCCAAGGTTTCGCCCTCTGCCTGGAATTGAACTCAGGTCTTGGATTTGCAAAGCGAGTGCTCTAACTACTGAGCTACAGGACTCCACAGGACTCCAAATGCGCAAGGAGAGGGACACGTCCGAAGGCGCTGGGCAATCAACGTTTCAGACCCAAGGTGGGGGTTGGGAGCGGGGAAGGTGGAGGGCGGGGGGAGGAAGGGGGGTGATTGAAGGCCCGGTCGAAGAGGAGGGTCTTGAGGGACCGAGGGATGGAAAGGGGACCTTGGAGCCAACTAAGTCAGGGGGTAATTGTGATTCAGGGCTGGGCTCAGCCGCAGATACAACACCACAGGGTGAGTGACACCTCACTGTGTGCTCTGGTTGGCAGCAGCGTTGCCCTGGAGCCCGAGTCCGTGAATGCCAGAGAGAGAGTGTGTGAGACAGAGAGGGAGAGAAAGAGAGTGTGTGAGACAGGGAGGGAGAGAAAGCGAGTGTGTGAGACAGGGAGGGAGAGAAAGAGAGTGTGTGAGACAGGGAGGGAGAGAAAGAGAGTGTGTGAGACAGAGAGGGAGAGAAAGAGAGTGTGAGACAGAGGGAGAGAAAGAGAGTGTGTGAGACAGGGAGGGAGAGAAAGAGAGTGTGTGAGACAGAGAGGGAGAGAAAGAGAGTGTGTGAGACAGGGAGGGAGAGAAAGAGAGTGTGTGAGACAGAGAGGGAGAGAAAGAGAGTGTGTGAGACAGAGAGGGAGAGAAAGAGAGTGTGTGAGACAGGGAGGGAGAGAAAGAGAGTGTGTGAGACAGGGAGGGAGAGAAAGAGAGTGTGTGAGACAGAGGGAGAGAAAGAGAGTGTGTGAGACAGGGAGGGAGAGAAAGAGAGTGTGAGACAGGGAGAGAGTGAGTGGGAGACGGAGGGAGAGAAAGAGAGTGGGAGACAGGGAGAGAGTGAGTGGGAGACGGAGGGAGAGAAAGAGAGTGTGAGACAGGGAGAGAGTGAGTGGGAGACGGAGGGAGAGAAAGAGAGTGTGAGACAGGGAGAGAGTGAGTGGGAGACAGGGAGGGAGAGAAAGAGAGTGTGAGACAGGGAGAGAGTGAGTGGGAGACGGAGGGAGAGAAAGAGAGTGAGACAGGGAGGGAGAGAAAGAGTGTGAGACGGAAGGAGAGAAAGGGAGTGTGAGACAGGGAGGGAGAGAAAGAGTAAGTGAACGAGAGGGGGAAGAGAGTGAGTGGGAGAGACGAGAGAGAGAGTGACAGGAAAGAGCGTGTGTGAGAGGGAGTGGAAGGAGAGAAAGTGAGTGAGAGAGAGAGATACAGAGAGTGAGAGTGGAAAGAGAGAAAGTGACAGACAGAGTGAGTGAGTGAGTGAGTGAGAGGGAGAAGAGCCCCGGGAGGGAGGGAGTGAGAGGGGGAAGTGCCCCGGAGTTGGTGAGTGAGTGAGTGAGAGAGAGGGGGAAGAGCCCCGGGAGTGAGTGAGTGAGTGAGTGAGTGAGAGAGTGAGGGAGGGAGTGAGAGGGGGGGAAGAGCCTCGGGAGTGAGGGAGGGAGTGAGTGAGGAGGGAGTGAGTGAGGAGTGAGGGAGTGAGAGAGAGGGGGAAGAGCCTCGGGAGTGAGTGAGTGAGGAGGGAGGGAGTGAGGAGTGAGGGAGTGAGAGAGAGGAGGAAGAGCCTCGGGAGTGAGTGAGTGAGTGAGTGAGTGAGAGTGAGTGAGTGAGTGAGTGAGGGAGGGAGGGAGGGAGGGAGGGAGGAGGGAGTGAGGGAGGGAGGGAGCGAGGAGGGAGGGAGTGAGTGAGGGAGTGAGTGAGGAGGGAGGGAGTGAGGAGGGAGTGAGTGAGGGAGTGAGGAGGAGTGAGTGAGGAGGGAGGGAGGGAGTGAGAGAGTGAGTGAGTGAGGGAGGGAGGGAGGAGTGAGTGAGTGAGTGAGTGAGGGAGGGAGTGAGTGAGTGAGTGAGTGAGGAGGGAGTGAGTGAGGAGGGAGTGAGTGAGTGAGTGAGGGAGGGAGGGAGTGAGGAGGGAGGGAGGGAGTGAGAGAGTGAGTGAGTGAGGAGGGAGGGAGTGAGTGAGGAGGGAGGGAGTGAGGAGGGAGGGAGTGAGTGAGTGAGTGAGAGAGTGAGTGAGGAGGGAGGGAGTGAGGAGGGAGGGATTGAGGAGTGAGTGAGTGAGTTGAGTGAGGAGTGAGTGAGTGAGTTGAGTGAGGAGGGAGGGAGTGCGGGGCTGGAGGCCGATGCGGCGGCGGCTGGTGCGGTTGGCGCCGGGTTCCCTGGCGCTGATCCTGTCTCGGGAGGAGGGCGGTGCGGGAGCGGGTGCGGGAGCGGGTGCGGGAGGGGCCGCGCTGTGCGGGCAGCAGGTTCTGGCCCGGTTCAAGGCGGAGAACGCGAGCAGCGTGTGGGATGCGGGGCTGGTGCGCTCGGTGTCGGCGCTGCTGTTCCTGGGGTGGCTGGGGCCCGAGCCGGGACCCCCGGGACCCCCCCCGGGGCCACCCCCGGGACCCCCGGGGCCACCCCCGGGACCCCCCCCGGAGCCCGGGCTGGACAGCGGCCACTGTGCGCTGCTGGTGCGGGGCTGCACCGCTCACCTGGAGCAGCTGAGACACGCCTGGACCCGCCGAGCCCTCAGGCCCCCCCGCGGCTTCCTCATCAAAGCCCTCGGTGAGTCCCGTCACCCCCACACCCTCCCCCCACACCCTCTCCCCCACTCCTCTCCCCACTCCCCTCCCCCCCCCACACCCTCTCCCCCCCACACCCTCTCCCCCCACACCCTCTCCTCCCGGTATTCATTCCCACCAGTGACTGCTGAGGCCACAACAACAGCATGGTTCAAAGGGAACTGGAGAAGCAGCTGAGCAGTGAAATAGGACAGGACGTGGGCAGAGAGAGGGATAGAGAGATTGAGAGCTGGAGAGAGTGAGCTAGAGAGAGAGAGAGTGAGTGAGTGAGAGCTGGAGAGTGAGAATAAATAAGTAGAGGAATAGGCCAGTGCTCTAATTTTTTGGTTGCAGTGTGATGCACATGTCAGGGTATCTGAGGGCAACTGTGTTAGCATTCACTACCCTCATCTGTTTGACAGATTAACTCTGGCGACAGTTAATGCGCCATCAACACCTGTACCCACTTCCGCTGGCTGGTTCCTCTCCACTGCAGGTCAGGGAAGGTTGCTGTGGCCGGCGCTGGGAGAGCATCGAGCCCTCAGATCTGCTGGCTTCAAACAAATTTACTACTGCACTCGCTCCTCCCAGCTCCCGGCTCAAACTGAGACCAATTGATTTCCCCTGAGATTAACAGCTCCTGAGACAGCCAAGGTTAGAGCGTGTAACACACTCACTACTCACAGCCCGGGTTAGAGCGTGTAACACGCTCACTACTCACAGCCCCGGTTAGTGTGTAACACACTCACTCAAAACTGGGAGGAGTGGGGAGCTTCACAGAAACTACTACTGCCTATAATGACTGTTTTGGGTTGGTGTTTTGTCCACAGCAGCGTCCCACAAACAGCCATGGAGCGAGTGACTAATTTTATTTGGTGGGATTGATGGCCAGGACACTGGGAGACAGAAACTGCCTTCTCTTATCTAATAGCGCCACGGGATCTTTTAACATCCTCCTGAACAGGCACAGACGGGCCTCGGTTTAATTTCTCATCTGAAGGACGGCACTGCCCAACAACGCAGCGCTTCACTTCACCTCAGCGTAGACTGTGAGCTCAGAGACCTGACGCAGGATGTGATTGTGATGTGCTGGGAACAGTCCCAGACACTTGATGCCTGGTCCTGGGCTAAGGCGCCAGCTCCTCCGCATGTTCCCATCTGGTGGTGGGTGAGGGGTTGGTGGACCCGAGCCGGAGATTGTGTTACTGGGCCACACGGCAGGAGGTGGTGCCTGGTGTTTAATGTCACATTTACAACCCTGTTTCCTGGCCTGGGATTAGCCTGGGGCCCTCGCAGCATCCCACACTGTGCTCGTTTCACCGGGAATCAGAAACATCAAAGCATTTTACTGCGCAGACTGTGTGGATGTGTGAGTGTGAGAGGGAAGCGGTGAGTGACTGGTGTTGGGGTGGGGGGGAGCCTCGGGAGTGGCTGAGTGAACAAGTACCCCCCACCCCCTCCATCCTCACTGATTGAATTTAAGATCCTAGTTCTAATTGTCAAATGCCTCCACATCCTTATCCAACTCATTCTTCTCTCTCCTCATTTCGCCCCCTCCCATATCTCTCCACCTTGCCCTGAGCAGAGCGGTGCTGTGCGCGAGGCGAGCGGTGCTGTGCGGGAGGTTTTCTGTGCTGAGGAGAGCGGCTCTGTGTTGTGTTACAGGTGATGTGCTGCCAGTGGCCATGCAGCCGGTGGCTCAGTCCCATTTTGTGCCCTTGGCGGAGGTGCTCTGCTCTGTGATCCATGAGATGAATTCGACCCAAGTCCCTGTTAACCAGGACGCCTTGCTGCAACACCTGGTCAAACGTTACCCAGGTAAGAAGCATTGCCGTAGCCACGATAACGACACGCCAGCCCCCTCCCCCCCGAAACATGGTGCTAGTCCTGCTATGATGTGCTTCACTGTGGATACCATTCACTGCACAAAACCCGCTCGCTGCCCCGCAGGCTTTATAGTGGACGATTTCTGGACCATTCATTCACTGTCACTTCCCGCTGGGCGCAGGTACATGTGTCCCGAGAGCGCTGCTGCGGTGATGCGCTGACCCAGACACTGCTCTCTCTCACCAACCTCAGCCGTCAAACCGTGTTCAAAATTATGAAATGATTCGATGTCACGGACATTTAAATCATCAAAGTAATAATCCTTGTATTCCAAACAGCGCCTCTCACATCGGGGTGGTGGTGGGTGGGGAGGGCGTTGGTGGGGGCTCATCCCAAAGCGCTTCACAGAGTTTACTTTAAAGTGGAGTCACTGTGGGTTTTTGTGGGTGAACTCAGCGGCCACAGAAGTGTCCACAACTAGCTATGGGGTGAGAGACCAGTTTTATTTTTTATTTGGGGATCGTTGGCCAGGACACCGGGAAAGCGAAACATCCTTCCCTTTTCAAGTAGCGCCCTGGAATCTTTGACATCCACCTGAACAGGCAGACGGGACCTCAGTTTAACATCTCATCTGAAGAGACTGACCCTCTCTGACAGTGCAGCACGGCCCCCAGCACTGGAACGCCAATCTAGTTCCATGTCCCCGATGTGGGACTCGAACCCACAGCCTTCCGATTCCGTGAGTGCTGCCACTGAGCCAGGCTGACACGAGCGTGTAGAACGGACGGCAAGCGGCTGCTGCTCGAGCCTCTGCATCTCCTCCTGCTGGACCCATCGTTCAGTGGATAGGGATGGGTGTCTGTGGCAGTTCTCTCGAGCATTTGAGCTGCGTAGGTGACGGGTGGGAGGGCTAGAGGGGGCTCACCCTTTAATTGAGATTTACTCAGCCACCCCCCCCCACCCCCCCCAGCCCCCAACAAAAATATTTTGACCGCTGCAGGGAGCTCCTGGTACCTGCCTTCTATTCAGTGAGGGCTCAAACCCACACCAACGTATTTGAGAGGAAAGGTGAGGCATTGATGAGAGAGGAATAGGATGGCTGTGGGCACCTGTGCCCGTCCAGGTTGACCGTTAAATATCCTACGTCACTGTTGGAAAAGCAAAGGGAGTTTCCCCCGAATAACACTGTTTATTCACTCCATGATTGTTTGTGGAACACTGCTGTGTGCAAACTGGCCGCTGTGTTTCACCCACAAAATACACAGTCACTGAACTTTTCCAGTAAATCCTGTGCAGTGCTGCGAGAGATTTGGGTTGATGTTCTGGGTGCTGTGATCTGGGTCTTCCTATAGGCATCGCGGCACCTTCCCAAGAGATGCTTCACCAGACGCTGGGCAGTCTGATCCAGGAGCGCAAGATTTACCACACAGGGGAGGGCTACTTCATTGTGACTGAAAGCACCTACTACAGCGGGGGCATAGGCCGGCACAGGGGCACCAGCGGCTGCCGGGGGGAGGGCGCTGAGCAGGCAGTTTGGGCTCATTGCAGGTCCTGCCGCTGCCCACGGGAGCCCGGCACAGAGAGGCGTGAGCCATGCACAGAAAGGCGAGACACAGGCTCCCGGCCTACTGGGGAGGCGAGACCTAGCGACGAGGGGAGGCCCAGCGACGAGGGGAGGCCTAGCGACGAGGCGAGGCCTGCAGCTCTGGGTCAGGCCAATAGCCCACCTGATAAGGCCCCAAAGGAGAAGAGCCCCAAGCGCTTTGGTCTCAGTCTGTTCAGGCGCAACCCCAAGAAAGAGAGGCCGAAGCGGGAATACGTCAGCTTCTCGGCCCAGTTCCCTCCGGAACAGTGGCCGGTTCGGGATGAGGACAGCCCGGACAAGCTCCCACGGGAGGTGGAGCTCCAGCTGATCCGGCGCATCAACCCTGAGCTGACAGTGGATAACCTGCGTAGACATGCCCTGCTGCTGGGCAAGACAGCCACAGGCCAGGCCCAGGCTCAGGATCTCACCAGCCGAGGCACCTCCACACAAGCCCCACTGCCCCGTCACAGGCCTAGGGGCAAGAAGGGACTGCGGGCCAGAAGGCAGAGGGCGCTGAGCGAGACCCGGGCGAGGCCGGGCACAGAGCCAGCCGATCCCACCAAGCCAGAGGCAGGCGGCAGGGAGAGGCCGTCCAGCCAGAGGCCTAGACACAAGCATCACAAGAGAGTCAGTAACCCGAGCCCAGGAGGGGTGGAGGTCGAGACCCGGGAAATGAGGCGGAAGCTCGTCCAGAGGTCAAAATCCCTGGATTCGAGTAAGACCCGGTTCCATGTGGCAAGGCCCACCCCGGTTCAAACCTCAGATCCCCAAATGCTGGCATCCTGCAGGCCTCCAGACAGGCCAGGCCTGGGCCTGGAGAACGGGTCACATCCTAGGCCTGGGACCAACACCGAACCCCCGGACAACAGCCTCGACCAGGCTGTGGGCGAGATTCAGCGTGGAGAGGGGGAGCGGCTCCTGGTGAAGGAGGAGGGAAGCGAGAGCTATAGTGAGGATCAGGCCTGGGCCAGGGCGGAGCTGGGCCCCGGGGAGGAGGATGGGGAGGAGGAGACCTCCAGCTCCCTGTGCCTCGTGGATGAGCCTGAGATGGATGCCAGCCCCCGGCCCAGCCCTAACCTGAGCAGCCTGGTGCAGCCTGCCTGGCGGTGGGAAGGCCTGGGCGCAGGGTGTGTGCCGGTGCCTGGGGCCCCTGGAGGCCTGGCGGGCTGGTTGGAAGCGGCTGAGCAGGCCGGGCAGCGAGCTCACAGGTCGGCCTCTCCGCGGCCCTGTGACCGGCCGGAGGAGGCTGAGACAGAGTGTGGCGGATGGGAAGGCGAGGCTGGGGATTACTGCCAGCCTGGCATCGGCCCGGGGCCCCCCAGTGAGCGGGAGGAACGGACCGCGCTCGAGAACCACAGCGTGACCGGCGACAGCGGCATCGACTCGCCACGGTGAGTACCCCGGGGCAGCAGCCTCCCCTCAGCCACCTCCTCACGTGCTCACAAACACAGTCACTGCACTTCACAGCAATCCCCAGGAAGCTTGAAGATGTCTTAATGACGTGACAAAATTCTCGCTGTATGGATGCAAGTTGTTGTTAGTCCTCCCCCCACGAGTGCCCCTCCCTGGCCCCTGCCCCTGATCGCTTTTCCAGGGGTAAAAATCCCTTTTAAAAAAAAAAGGTAATAATATGGTCACTCAATCCACCGCTGTTTAGTGGGACACTGCTGTTCGCAATTGGCTGCCGTGTTTCGCCCACAAAATATACAGTCAATTCACTTCACAGTATATTCTGTAAAGCGCTTTGAGAGTCTCAAAGACGTGATAAGATGCTATATCAAATGCAAGGATTATTATTATTATTATTTCAACTAATCCTACTTCTCATCTGCCCTGGAGCGGGGGTCCTGGCTGATTACAGACTCCCTACCCCGGGACGCTTGTAGCCAAGGTGGGATCAGTCAATCAACGCAGAGTGTGGGGAAGATTGGGGTCCTCTGCGGACTTGCTCCAGGCTTAATTTTGGGTCGCTTCTCTCTGCAGGACCCGAGTGAGCCTGGCCTCAAACAACTCCATCATTATGGACTGCCTGAAGAGGAGGGGCCTCCTGCCCAGCTGTGAGCTGAGTCCGCACCGAAGCATCGGAGCCTTCGCTCAACAGTCCTTGTTGCAGCTCACCCCAGTCATGAACGTCTGACGTAAACCAGAGTACAGCGGACGAGCCCGGCCCGGTCACAGAGTACAGGGTGTCCACAGAGTCCTGTTGCCCCATTCCTCCCCCTTCACTTCCATTGAACTTTGCTGCCTTTTACGTTAAGCTGAGAAAAGTTACCATGTAATTTTTTTTAGACTCCGCATCGTGTAATCCTGCACCCTGAGCTTGTGCTCAACCTTTATATTAAACAGATCAACAAAAGCGTGTTGACATGCCCTGTGGGATTCTATTCATTTACTCTCTGTTTCGCCTTGGAACGTACTCCCGACGTGAAAGGTAGTATACAAATGTGATTTGTTGTTGTTGTTTCCATCAGACTTGGTCTGCAAAATACACAGTCACTACACTTTATTAAAAAAATCCCATTTAGTGCTTTGAAATGGCTCAATGGGATAATGCTACGATAAGTGTCAAATTCAAGTCTTATATTATATCCTGGTCTCAAGTTATTTATCAAAAACAATGTTCTCCATCCTCTGTGTCCTCCCTCTACCCCCTCTCCCCACTGATGGTGGTGCAGAGATGGTGGGAGATGCACAGCAAGCCCCGAGTTAACCAAGAGGAGGAGGCGAGCTGAGCAGCGGGGTAGAAGATCACAGAGACGGGGTATGAGAACCACTGTGAGACAGGGAGCCAGTGGGCCCCGGCAGAGATTTCCAATCCTACATTCCCCCCTAACAACTGGAACAGAAATTCAGCATCGAGTCAGCCCTCTATGATGGTCTCTGGACCGGTTCCTGAGCCAGGTGGGTTCGCAATACTCCCCAGGGCACTGCTAACGACAGCCTGGCAGGATCTCCAGGGGCAGACCAGTCACTGGGGACAGGGATTTTTCCCACCCAGCTCCCTGCAAGTCAAAGCCCCAATGGATAGGGTGGTCTTAGCCGGACATCTTGCAAATGTTCTCAATAGCAAGCTCTGTGGTTTTAGTTGGCTAAACTCCCAACAACAACAAAATTACATTTGTATAGCACCTTTCACATTGGGAGGACATCCCAAGGCGCTGGACAATCAGTGTTTCAGACCCGAGCTGGGGATCGGGGAGGGGGTAGGGCATGGAGGGAAGGAGGGCGACTGAAGGCACGGCTGAAGATGAGAGTCTTGAGACGGGTCTTGAAGGAGGCGAGGGAGGGGGTGAGTTGATGGGGACTCCGGGATGGAGTTCCAGAGGGTGGGGTAGAGTGGCTGCAGGTCCGCCCGCCCGCCCGCCCGCCAACGGTGGGGTGGGTGAGGCGGGGGACGTGAAGCAGGCTGTAGCCCACTGAATGGAGGGTGCGATCGGATTGGTAGGGGGTTAGGAGGTAACAGAGGTGGGGGGGGAGGAAGACCGTGGCGGAGTTTGACAGTGACCGGGATCTTGAACCGTTCCCGCAACGCACACTCTGGGGGTGGGGGGTGGGGGGGGGGGGGGGTCCCCAAGCCTTGGCTCGTACTTGGCTCTGTGTTTGATACACCCTGGGGTTTGGTCGGCAGCGCCCGTTCCATTCCAGACGTGGGAACCTCCATGAGTGGGGGGTCCACATGGAGCGCTCAGGTCGGTGTAGACGCTCTGAAGCGCAGCGACGGGTTTCCGTGTGTCAGGACACCCGGTGCTGCTCAACGCCTGACACAAGTGGCTGTTACTGCGTGAACTGCCGGACTGTGGCCACTGGGAGGCGCTGTGTATGTGTGTGTGTGTGTGGCCGCTGTGCGGCGCTGTGTGTGTGTGTGTGTGTGTGGCCGCTGGGCGGCGCTGTGTGTGTGTGTGTGTGAGTGCTGTGCGGCGCTGTGTGTGTGTGTGTGTGTGTGTGTGTGTGGCCGCTGGGCGGCGCTGTGTGTGTGTGTGTGTGTGTGTGTGTGGCCGCTGGGCGGCGCTGTGTGTGTGTGTGTGTGTGTGTGTGTGTGTGGCCGCTGTGCGGCGCTGTGTGTGTGTGTGTGTGTGTGTGTGGCCGCTGTGTGTGTGTGTGTGTGTGTGTGTGTGGCCGCTGTGCGGCGCTGTGTGTGTGTGTGTGTGTGTGTGGCCGCTGGGCGGCGCTGTGTGTGTGTGTGTGTGTGTGTGTGGCCGCTGGGCGGCGCTGTGACTCCCCCCCGCTCTCCCCTTTCGTCGCTCGGCTCCGCGCGGTGAGGTCATGCCGGCCCGGACCGAGACCCTCCCCGACACCGACAGCAGTATGGAGCCGCCGAGCGACGCCGCCGCGAGCCCCGAGAGGGCTCAGAAACACCGCAAGAACAAGGTGAGGTGCTCGGCCGCCGCCGGGGAGCGGCGACCCGGGGAGAGGCGGCGGGGGCGGGGGCCGCGGCCTGGGCCTGGGCCTGGGCCTGGGCCCGCGTGGGAAGCCTCGGGCTCGCCTGGACTCGCTGCCCGGAAACAGGCGCACCGGCTCCCCCACCCCCACCCCCCCCCCCGCGCCCGACCCCCCCCCCCCCCCCACCCCACCCCCCGGGAATCTCCTCAGGAGTGCTGTCGAGACGTCCCTGACTGTGTGAGGTGTAGTGACTGTGCGTTCAGTCGGCGGATATGGGGGCGGACGGGCGGAGAGATGGCGCAAAGCCGCACAACCCGCGGCTCGGCTTTTCCAGAGGGAGTTCCGTGTGACTCTCAGTGAGAGACTTGGGGTTCGATCCCCAGTCCGAGGGCCGAACCCCACCCCCGGGGGCAGCAGTTACCCCCACACGGGGTACCCTCACTGTTACCCCCACACGGGGTACCCTCACTGTTACCCCACGGGGTACCCTCACTGTTACCCCCACACGGGGTACCCTCACTGTTACCCCCACACGGGGTACCCTCACTGTTACCCCCACACGGGGTACCCTCACTGTTACCCCCACACGGCCCCTCACTGTTACCCCCACACGGGGTACCCTCACTGTTAACCCCACACGGCCCCTAACAATAACAATAACAATAATAATAATAATCATAATAACAATCCCCCCCCAAAAAAACCCGAACGGTCATAAATTGGGTCATTTTCAAGCCGCGGTTACGCAGCTTTAATAATAATAATAATAATAATAATCGTTGCATTTGATAGAGCGCTTTTCACGTCGGGCGGACGTCCCGAAGCGCTTCACAGAACACACCGTAAAGCGAATCGACTGTATATATTTGTGGGCGAACGCGGCGGCCGATGTCCCACGAACGGTCGTGGATTGAAAATGACCGATTTATTATTGTTTTGGGTTTTTTCGGAGCGGATTATTATTAGGGGCTCTGTGTGGAGTGAGGAAACTTGCCCGAGGTTTCGCCCTCTGCCGGGGATTGAACTCGGGCCTCTCGCTTGCAAAGCGAGTGCTCTAACCACTGAGCCACAGGACTCCACGAGTCCGTTCTCGCGTCGGGTGCCGCCGGCGGCGGCTCAGGTCGCGGAACAACAAGTTTGCGCACGTCTTTTCGAAATAGACGCCCGTAACCGCTTGATAGCAATTAGTAGGTAACGCGGCCGACTGCCCGAAACCTACTCATCGCCCCTGGGAGGAGGCGGCGAGATTGTCATTTCAAGTTCTTTTTCTCTGGCTGGTGAGGCGTAAATAGACGAAGGTCAAACCGGAATCTCTTCAGACATAAAGTGAGAAGAGCTTATTATCGGCCCATGGTTATAGAGTAGGATTAGAATACATTAGCTGTAAGCACTCAGTCGTTTGCGCTCTTGCCTCTCTGAGTCGGAGATTATGAGTTCAGGCCCCAAATGTTTCACGTGTTCTTAAAGCGTACGAAAGATGTGAACCACAGGTATTTGGCAGACACCCGTCTGTCCAAAAAAAAAAGCCCCACGTCACAACTTTCAACTCCTCGCCTCAGCAATCCCCCAAAGCAAAGTTGGTCATTGTGTTCCTGTGTGCAAATACGTTGCTGTGTTTGCCTACAACTACACAGTCTCTACGCTTTACAGTAAAATCCTGTGAAGCACTTTTGAATGCCATCCTGACGTGAAAGGCGCTATATTCAAATGCCAGGATTATTATTAGTGCTGCACAAAATTTCTGGATGGGGATGGGGAGCCAGGAGAGGCCATGATGTAATGAATGCGTGGATGAGGGTCTTGACAGCCTGAGGGGAGAGGCAGTGGCGGAGCCGGGCGATGTTGCGGAGGTGGGGGAAGCCAGAGCGGGTAATGGTATGGATGTGGGGTAGAAAGGACAGTTAAGGGTCAAACGAGACACCAAAGTTCAGGACTGGCTCAGTGAGGTGGGATGTGCGTCCTTGGATGGTGATGCTGCCAGTGCCTGAGGCGTGAAGCCTCGGTCTTGTTGACATTCAACTACAGGTGTTCTCATTACAGTTCTCACCCGTACTACCAAAAACAAAAGGGAGCAAAACCAGGTAAATGGCCGGATAATGTTCTGGTTTTCAGGCGTATCTCAGCTGAGCTAAGTTTTTTAAAAATGCGCAATGCTGACATTTTTATGCCACTTCATAATTCCTGCAAAAATAAAGGGGGAGGCGCGAAAGGCACCGTACCGTGCCTCCAGCTCACTTTAGCAACAGGCTTGAGCAGCGGCAATCGCAGTAGAAATACTATTGTGTGTTTTGCTTCTTCTGGCATAATGTGAGGCTAATTTGCTGACAGTTCCTATTACGGTCACACTGCCTTATGTCTATCACTGTCTGCTGAGGTACTGATCTCAGCCGGGGCAGCAGTTGGGGCTACAATTGGCTTCAATGCTCCTGGATGAGGGAGCAGAAAATTGCCCTCCCGTCTTGGTTGACACACGAATGAAGGCTACTCAGATGGCTGCTGTGGACAGATAGTTCCTTGGGAACTTTTCGGAAGCGGCCCCCACTGAAAGGAAAGAGTCCACCTTGAGTAGGAGGAGGAAAAAAATGTTGAAACCCTTTTGTAGTTTTGAGTATAACTGCTGCTTATGGATGTAGTTTATTCCTTTTATTGCTGGAGGCAATGGTGCCTTATAAACCAGGGAGTTTAGTCTGCTCGTACAAGCACTGGCTGACAAATCCTTCCTCTCCTCCTGTCACAGAAAGAGAAAAAGAAGAAGCACTCGGATAAACATCAGTCACCTAAAGAGCAATGTTCTCAGCTCAAAGAAAATGGAAAGCTGGAGGATGGTGAGGAGACAGGTGAAGATAGCAACTTGTTGCCCCCCAAAGCCAAGAAACACAAGACACGAGGTGATGCTCGCGGCGAAGTCTCTCTCAAAAAGAGCAAGGGAGAGAAAAATGGAACAGGCACAAATGCAACAGTGACAAAGGAGATCAAAGTGGAAACTATCCCACTATCCAGTGAATCCAGTTGCGACTCGGAGGTTGAACAGGAACCTAGTGAGGCATCGGAGGTAAGAGTGTTTTGTTGTTTTTGTTCATGTTAAACTACCAGCCTTTTGCCTGTTTCTTCTTTGAGGGTATGACATGGCTTTAGTTGTGGGCATCCTTGTCTGGTTGAGTGTGGAGTGGGCTCTGTGAGGCCGAGGGTGGAGCGGGGCCGAGGGTGGAGCGGGGCCGAGGGTGGAGCGGGGGGCCGAGGGTGGAGCGGGGGGCCGAGGGTGGAGCGGGGCCGAGGGTGAAGTGAGGTTGAGTATGGAGTAGTATATCGTGAGGCTCAGTGTAGGGCCGCACTTGGTGTGTGAGGCTGAGTGTGGAGGTGTATGACAGGACTTGTGAGACACTCCCCCCCCCTCCCCACTGCGTTGTTTTCCACACCAGCTGACCTACAGGGGAAGCACGGGGACATTTTGTGGCTGGTGTGGGTGTGACGTAAGTTTCAGACTTCCGTTTTCTCTAACGTTCACAAGTACAGGAAGTTCAGCGATTGATTGAGCTGTGCTCTCAGAGTGTTAGTCATTCTCAGTGCGGTCCTGTGTGATTCATTACCCTGGAGTTTCCTCTTAATCTGAGTGGCAAACGGATCTGACACTCCACCCTATTTTGTTTGAAGCTTCGTGCCGCAAGTTTACCAGCCATCCGATGCGCGTGTGCCATGCCTGCATGAATGCCCAAAGTTACTTTCAAAAAGTAGATTTATGCACCCACCCATTGCCTCCATTTAATCATCAGTCATTCGCAATGGGCATGGCTTCTGCACGTCACTCGCTTCCCCTATTAGCTCAATAGGTAAATGTGGTACAGAGACACATAGAGTGGAAAGCTGCTCTGTTCAAACCCTGGTCTATGTTATTAGCTACAGGTGAGGCAGCGATGATACAATTGGCCTCAGAAGCCTGGGGTAGAGAATATTTTGCTCTTTTAAGTGACCCCCCCCCCCCCCCCCCACCCTTTGCTGCCGCTCAGTGACCTCTGAGCTGCTGTCTATGCTCAGCTCATACACACACACCACCCCACCCCGCCTCCCTGCACCCCTCAATGACCTGTCAGTATCACGTGCCTTCATTATTCTACATTCTTAGATTATTCTTAAATTAATTGTTGATCAGGTCAAATCTAAATGGGAAACTTTAATAAAACCCTGACAGAGTGATCTTGAACATATAAAATAATTCAACGCATTGCCTATCTCAGCTCAGTTAATCTGTATGTTAACCAATTCTTCTGTTGCTGTTCATAGGAGTTGACTCAGGAACAGAGGGAAGGGGCCTTTTCGAATTTTAAAATATCCCAGGAGACCATTGAGCTGCTGAAGGGTAAGTGAACTGTTTGTTCAGGGCAGATTGTCCTCTGGTTGTCAGCCTGAATCCGGGGGATAGCTACTCATTGACAGGCTCTCCCATCACCTCCTTTGTATTAAAAACAGAAGTCGCCGGGAACACTTAGCAGGTCAGATAGCATCTATGGAGAGAGGAAAGTAAGTTAATGTTACAGGCCGATGACCTTTTGTCATCTGCAGTATTTTACCTCTTCTGTATTGACAGGTCTGTAGGTCTCTTTGCCTCTTATATTGCGTTCTGCCGCCCAGTACTGAACGGGATTCTGTGTTTTTGCACAGCCTGTGGCAAATGATGTTACTCATGTACAGGAATGGCCTTTCTAGTGTTCTAGGCTTTCTGTATTCGAATACACAAATAATTATTATCTATCTCCGATTTAAACATCCCAATTGATTCTGTCCCCTAGCCTGTTCAAGTGTATTCCATTCAAGAGTTGTGTGTGAGCAGATCTGGAGGTACAAAACTTGTGATTTTGCATCACTAGTGTCCGAGAGAGAGAGAGAGAGAGAATTGTGTGTAAATATCACAAGACATTTATGGCGTCCACGTCCTCATTTGTGTTATTTGCACCTGTCTGCAGTAGCATTAGGTACCGGGGGCTGGTACTCCCCTTCGGTACTTAGGTACTCTAGGCAATCTAGTCCTCCTGAGTGCAACAGCAATCACTGTCTGTAACCTTGACCCAAATGTAAGGTCACATCAACAAGTGGAGGCGGGTGGATTCAGTGTGCACAGCGAAGGCTTACACTTACAACAGGGGAGAGATCCACTCTACAGAAGCCTCCCTGCAGTAGGGGGCAATGGTGAATACAGATGTCCTGTAAGTGGCATGTGGCTTTTGTTGTAGACTTAAACTTGTTTGTAAAACGTGGTGCCTGAGCTAAGCTAAGCAGACTGGGCAATAAAGGATAGCTTGGCACTGCAGTCAGAGTCAGCTCATGGGTGGTGCAGAGTCTGTCTGAGGGGAAACAAGGGGGTTATTTGCAGGAAGCTTTAAGATGATGGTGAATAATCCTGGCCTGCTGCCCTGAGGTTGGTTATGGTATAGGGGATCAAAGCATGGCACTGTTAATAACTTTAATATGTTTTTATTCCTAATTTGAGTGAACCCATTGCCAGAAAACCTGCTTTTAACCTAATGGTGCTGCTCTTGGCTTGCAGGTAGAGGAGTGACCTACCTGTTTCCCATCCAAGTTCAGACATTCAATTTTGTGTACAACGGGCAGGACTGCGTGGCTCAGGCCAGAACCGGGACTGGGAAAACCTTCTCGTTCGCCATCCCACTGGTGGAGAAACTGCAATCTTCACAGCTCGAGAGGAAGAGAGGCCGAGCTCCCCAGGTCAGCACTGCTCCATGCAGCTTCCCTTCATAGTCAACTTTCATTAAATAGTCCCTATACGTCAGTATACAACAACAAGAAAATTAAATTTGTTTAGCGCCTTTCACATCGGGAGGACTTCTCAAGGTGCTGGACAGTCAGAGTTTTGGATCCGAGCTGGGGGTCGGGATCAGGGAGGGTGAAAAGCGGGGGGTGGGGAAGCAGGGTGATCGAAAGCACGGTCAAAGAGGAGGGTCTTGAGATGGTATTAAAGGAGGGAGGGGGCGAGGCGGAGGGACTGTGGGATGGAGTTCCAGAGGATGTTGGCAGAAGGCCCACCTGCTCACAGGGGGTGAGCGAGGCGGAGGACGTGAAGCAGGCCGGAGCCCACTGAGCGGAGGGAGCGAGCAGGATGGTAGGGGGTTAGGAGGTCGCAGAGGTAGGGGGGGAGCAAGACCACGGAGAGCTTTCAAGGTGAGGAGCAGGAACTTGAACTCTATCCTCTGTGTGATGGGAATATAGTATAGTGTGACAATCAGATGTAGTGCACGTGGGCTGCGCTGCTTTGTAAAAAGTGCTCTCCTTTGGATGAGAGGTTGAACTGAGACGTCTGTGTCTGTTCAGCTGGAAGATCCCATCAGTCATTATTCAAAATATATCGTCAAATCTACAATACATTCTGCGAAGCCCTTTGCGACGTCTCAACGATGTGATAAGGCGCTGTATCAGATGCAAGGATTATTATTATTTGAAAAGAGAAGGGAGTTTCTCTCTCCCGGTGCCAAAAGTTCCCAAAATAAAATTTACAGCAAATCTACTTTACAGTAATTCCTGTGAAGCGTTTTGAGATATCCCCCCGGCATTAAAAGACCCTGTATTATTTATTTATTTAAATACAGTGTTGCGACCTGCCCGGTAGTTCAGTTGGCAAAGTGAGATGTGCCTGGCGAGGAGCTTCCCCATACGACGACAACTTGAGTTACCTGAGCTCTGCCACTGCACACTGCTGAGTACCGCTGAGTTAAGGACCTGATGAATAGATAGTATTTAGTTCTTGCTTCCCTGCTCCCGATTGCTGCTCCGTGACTCTAATGTCAAGTGACACGAGAGTTTGGCGCTACGATCATTTTGTTGCATTTATCGTGTGCATGCAATGCATACAGTCAGTGCGGGCACTCGCTCTCTGAGCTCACCTGTAATAGTTGTGTGCGCGGGGATGTATGGGACATGCCCATTGCCTGTGGAGCTGTACCCAATACCGTAGTGAACCCTACCCTCAGGGAGGGGACAGCTATAAAGATAATCTTTCAGCAGTGAAACATTGTTGACCCTATTCCACGCTCTTTCATAATAAACCTTGCATTTAATATAAAGACATCTCAAAGCGTTTCACAGGATTTACTGTAAAATCAGTGACTGTGTTCATAAGCAAACGTGACAGCCAATTTGTACCGCAGCCCAGTCCCGCAAACAGCCATGTTCAATTTTGCCCCCCTACCCCCACCCATGGTCAAATGATAACATTTCTTCACCTTTCAGTGTGGTGGGTACAAAGTTGCCAACAAGTCACCTTGACCTACTTGTAGCTCAGTTGGTGGGTTCATCATCACAGTTACCTGCTTAGTATATCTCACTTGTGCCTGACCCTGTCCCACCCCCCCGGACAGAGAGCTTGATAGTCCAGCGTAGATTTTAATGCAGTTGTTCCTTTTTCTTCCTATTTTTGAACAGGTGCTGGTGCTCACTCCAACCAGGGAACTGGCGATCCAGGTGGCCAGAGATTTCAAAGATGTAACCAAGAGACTGTCGGTCGCTTGTTTTTATGGTGGAACCGATTACAAACCACAGAGTAAGTACTTGCTGCTCAGGGAGCTTTCATTTATACACAGAGCAGCATTGAGTAGCCTCTCAGCCTGAGAGATAGATTGCTACAGCACAGAAACAGGCTATGCTGTCTTTTTCCTTTGTCATCTGGGAATCATTCATCCCCATCCAGTCTACCTCTACTCTCTCCTCCCCCCAGTCTTAACACCACTCTCCCCTCACTCCCCCGGTCTAACCCTACTCTCCCCTCGCGCCCCCCAGTCTAACCTCACTCACCACCCCCCAGTCTAACCTCACTCTTCCCTCACTCTCCCCAGTCTAACCCCAGATCCACCAATTGACTAAAAACTGGGTTCATACTTACTGCTAGGTAAAAAGAGGCGTTTGGAGTAAGGAAACTTACCTAAGTTTTCGGCCCGCCTGGGATTCAAACCCTATTCCTTTTGCTTGTGAGGCTGGCAGGCTAACCACTACACTAAGGGACTCGGTAGTAAGCTTTAGCTTCATTAATAATGTAAGGTACGAAGCAGCTATTTGCACCCGGATGTTCAGAAGGCTGGTTGGCAATCAGATTGTCTTCTCTCTTAGTCTTCAGCATTCGCAGTGGCATTGATATCCTGGTGGGCACCCCGGGCCGTATCAGGGACCATCTCCAGAACCAGAAGGTGGACCTGTCCCAAGTGAAGCACGTGGTCCTGGACGAGGTGGACCAGATGCTGGACATGGGCTTCGCGGACCAAGTGGAGGATATCCTCGGGGTCGCGTACAAGAAAGGTGGGTGGTCACTGCGGTCGTGCTTTGGGTCTTCTTTCGAGGAACAAAAAGAGCGAATGTTCTACTTCTGGTGAATCTGTAGTGTGATGGCGTGTCATCGTCAGTGTTAATTGTGTAGTTGTTTGCTCCCACCAAATGTGTTGCACATCAAGCCAGGCAAGCGAGCACCTTTCACATCGAAAACCATGCATGTTGCATGCAAAGACAGAGCTTCTCAAATCAAAGCCCGAAACACAACACGTGGCACTGTGTGAACAGAGTAAACTGACCAGCGTCTATTACAGTGGCCCTGCTGATTGGCAAACCAAGCTGTGAATATAACATTAACACTGTAACATGGTGTGTGTGTGTGGGTGCGCACATGGATGGAGTGCTCACAGGGGCGACTCCCGACTGTGTTAAAGGGAGCGTACCAAAAAACGTGTGCGCAACCTATGTGCGGGGAAGGAATATACCATAAACAGCAGAATGCGTTTGTATTGGGAGAAAAGGGAAAGAATTGTAACAGAAGATGTTTTGGGGGGATTTCTGTTGTACTATTATATTGACAAATAAATATATATTTTCAAAACAAAAAAATTAACACTGTAACACCAATGTTTGGAAGTTGTTACAACTTGGATTGCTCTGCCTGAAAGGGTGGTGGAAGCAGATCCGGTGGTAGCTTTCAAAAGGGTACTTCAACAGGTAAAATTTGCAGGGCTATGGGGTAAGAACGGGCAGTGGAACTATTTGGTTGCTCTTTCAAACAGCTGGCACAGGCACGATAGGCCGAATGGCCTTCTCTGTCCTATAAGATTCTCTGAAGTGTGGATGTTTTTTCGACCCACGTCTTAACCTTAATTAGGGAATTGAATGTTAAGATTCCTGCATTTTTCACACATTTGTGACAATTGCCTTTTCTCATCACAATGTTTGTTTGCTGCTGAACAAGTGTTGACTTTTCTCAGATTCCCAGGAAAACCCTCAGACGCTCCTCTTTTCTGCCACCTGCCCGCCCTGGGTTTATTCCGTCGGAAAAAAGTATATGAAGGGAAAATTTGAGCAGATTGACTTAATCGGGAAGCGGACGCAAAAAGCAGCCACAACTGTTGAAGTAAGTGACGGGTGCTGTAGTGTTTGGGTAGCCACTCACCTTAAGGAAATACATAGCACCAGCTGCTTCCTGACTGTGCTCAGCATAAGAGCTGCAGCTACACTTAGTACCACTGGAGGTCGATGCTGACAACGTAATGCAGAGTTCACTTACAAATTCTGTTGCCCCTGCAGTGAGATTTGTTATTGAAATGTGTCACTTGCTACCTTCTCAAGGAACTGAATCTCAAACACAAGACCTGTATCAGTCAAAACCAGTCAGTCCCACTCAGCTCCTGATAACTCTTAAGACAAAGCCCTCATGGGTAGCAGGAAGTCTGACAGACGGTGCTCTCAATGGGCAAGATATGCGGCTTTAACTGATTAAAATTCCAGTTACCCTAAATTTCAGAATCTACAAGGCTTGTCTCTCAACAACCTGTGCCTAATACTCTCTGGAGTCCTGTAGCTCAGTGGTTAGAGCACTCGCTTTGCAAGCGAGAGACCTGAGTTCAATTCCAGGCACAGGGCGAAACCTTGGGCAAGTTTCCTTAGTCCACACAGAGCCTAATAATAATCCTCCAAAACCAAAAACAATAATAAAATTGGTCATTTTCAATCTACGACTGTTTGTGGGACATTGCTGTGCGTAATTGGCTGCCGCGTTCGCCCACAAATATACAATCAACTCACTTTACAGTATATTCTGTGAAGCGCTTTGGGACGTCCTCCCGACGTGAAAAGCGCTATATCAAATGCAAGGATTATTATTATCGGGGTGCATTCCCCAGGAGTGTGACCACTCCAATCCCGAGTGTCTAAACCCTGCACTTTCCCCAACTAAAGCAATAACATCACCCTATTTACTTTGTCGTGCCAATTCAGAATTGTAAATGCCTCTATGGTAATCTCTCAATCTCCTCTGCTACAGTGCAAAGAAAAAACATTTAGCTCAGCGACTCTTCACGTGTACGTGGCTGGTATTGCCCTAGTGATTCGGTGTCTCTTTGTAGCTGATCAGTCCCTGGAACATATCCAAGGAAATAATTGCCAGAGGCTTGAAAGCTTGTTTTAAATAAGGGTGCAACTTGTTGCTTTAACTGGAAAAGCCTTGAATCGCTGCCAAGTGCTTCCAAAGAACGAGAGTCTTGGCTTGCAGGAAAGGAAGTTCAGCCGGTTGGGTGGACACTCTCCACTCTGACTGCAGAATTCTGTGCAGAGCAGTTACACACACAGTATTTAATGAATAAACTGCAACAGTTTTTGAGCTGACCGGTTTCCAAGGCCTAGGAGTGCTGTCACTTTAATTGACCCTAAGGAAAGTGTCTATTTTAGACTCTATATTCAGTGTACATTATTTCATTAAAGTTTCCTAGAGTTTTATTTGCTAAAGAGGGGCTGAGATCCACTGACAAGAGGATGAATCCTCAGGCTGATCACCAGGAGCAGATACTTGGTTGACAACCAGCAGATTTTCGTCTATTAGTTGGTCAATCTCATGCCACTGGGGACATTAGTCTTAAATCCAGGTGGCACTGACATGATAGGCCATGTGGCCTACTTCTGTGCAGAAAATACCAAGTGATTTTCCGTGGAGTGCACTTTGAGCTCACAGTCTAGGCTGACACCAGTGTCAGAGGTGCCATCCTTTGAGTGAGACGTTGAACTGAGGTCCTGTCTACCTGTTCAGGTGGATGTTTAAGATTTTGTGCCATGATTTAGAAAGAAAGGGAGTTTTTCTCTCCAGGTGCTGGTCCTGGTCAACAATCCCCCAGTTAAATTGGTCATTCATTTGGTGGCTGTTTATACACCTTACCTTGACTGCCAAATTTGCCTGCAAATACACGCTCACTATGTTTGAGAGAAACTGCCTGTGAAGTGTTTTCAGCCTGTGCTGTGTTCAATGCAAGGACTGTTTTTGTGCTAATTCTCTGTGGTCTTTCCTTCAGCACTTGGCTATAGAGTGCCACTGGTCGCAGCGAGCCGCAGTGATTGGGGACGTGATCCAGGTCTACAGTGGCATCCAAGGCCGGACCATCATCTTCAGTGAAACCAAGAGGGAAGTGAGTGAGCTGGCAGTGAATCCTTACATCAAACAGGTACGTCTTCTCCTCCACAGGCACAAAGCCACTCCTCTGCTCCTGCCACCAACTCACAATCAGCATGCTTCAACTGGGGAAAACATTTCACATGGCTTATTTTCTTTGTGAGCCTGCACCCTCAGAGTTGGAAATATAAAAAGGTTTGTTAGAGGGAATATCAGAAGGAATCTCGTCACTCAGAGGCTTGTGGGGTTTAGACTTCACTGGGAGTTTCAAGAGAGTATGTAAAAGATAACGGCTTGAAGGGGTATGTGGATTGGCTAAGGCGGTGGGATTGAATGAACACCTTGCTCTGAGAGCCGGTACAGTAAATTATTATGATTCTGTAATTGGTTCTCACCAACGGAATTGTTCAAAAGGGAGCTGGATAAGCAGCTGAGCAGTGTAATGTGAGAGCTATGGGGAGGGAACTGGGACCAGGATGAATAGAACACAGGGTGATTTTAGAAGAATGAGAGCTGGGCCCGATGGGCTGTGAGGCAATTGCATATATTATTGAAGGTGGACTCCCTTTGCTGCTGTTTACTCAGGACACACAGTGTTTACACGGAGACATTCCACAGAAGCAGAGAGAGATCACCCTGAAGGGGTTCCGGGATGGCACATTTGGGGTCCTGGTAGCCACAAATGTAGCGGCGAGAGGCTTAGACATTCCAGAAGTAGATCTGGTCATCCAGTGCTCCCCACCCAAGGTAAGCAACCAACAACAACACTCCTCCATCTACACCCAGTTCCAGCCAGCTGCTGCCTGTTAGCAATTCGCATTGCTTGATGTGGAACGGAACAATAACATAAGAATCCCTGTATTTGATATAGCGCCTTATTACATTGTCAAGACGTCTTCACAGGATTTATTGTAAAGTGGTGCGACTGAGTCGTTTATAGGTGAACGCGGCAGTCAATTTGCGCACATCAATGTCCCTGCCTAGAGTATCAGCTTAGACAATATGGCTCACAAGGCCCAAACCACAACTATCTGATTCCGAGGTGAGAGAGCTATTAACTGACCAGCCTGACACACTGAATTGCTGCTACGTACAGTGGATTGGGAACCAGGAATGGAGGGCAGGGAGGGAACAAAGTATATTGAGGTTTGAGAGGATCTTTCTTGCATGCGGTTGATCAAATCTGGCTTCTGTTTGCTTTAGGACGTGGATTCTTACATCCACCGCTCAGGTCGCACAGGCAGGGCAGGACGCACTGGAGTCTGCATTTGTTTCTACCAACGCAGGGAGGAGGAGCAGCTGAGATATGTGGAGCAGAAAGCCGTAAGTACACTTATTAGGGAGAAACTATTTCATCTGGAAGGTGAACTAGATGGAGCTTGGTCTTCTTTCGCCTAGAAAATTCTCATATTCTTATGTGCTTTCCAATGTTCTCCATTGACGCCATCTGGTGCATGGCTGACCACCACTGGAGAGTTGTTGCTAAGAATCACAACCTGCAAAGGAGCAACCTTAAAGCGCACAGGCACTCGATGGGCTGAGCTGAAAAAGCCTCTGTCTCTGCTGAACTTGTCTCCCTGTCCTCTACTGAGCACCAGCCAGAGGGCAAGACTAGAACCTCACATATGGGATTATGCAATAGTTATTGTAACTCACCATTAGCTGAACTGATGTATTCACACAGGGGGAAATAAGATTTGTTATAAAAACAGAAGAAACTCGCAATTAAGAGTTCCATTTGTGACCAGAATGATATTAGGTCGTAAAAGAGTTAAATTATGAAGACAGGTTGCATAAACATGGCTTGTATTCCCTTGAGCTTAGAAGGTTGAGGGTTGAACGATTGAGGTGTTTAAAATAATAAAAGGGATTCAGTAGGGTAGCTACAGAGAAACCATTCCCTCTGGTGGGGGAATCCAGAACGAGAGGGCAGAATCTTAAAATTAGAGCGAGGCCATTTAGTAGTGAAATCAGAAAGCTTTTTTCACCCAAAGTGTAGTGAAAATCTGGAACTCAGGTGAGGAACTCATGAGGTTAATTCTTGTAGAAAATGCAGGAATTTACTTGCCATCAAGTTATCTTTGATCTGAATTCCTTTGTTCAGTTGAGCTCCGTGGATCAGTGTAAACGTTTTCTGTGAAATGTGGCCCTCAGGCAGTCAGTGAGGAAATTTTGTTGTAATAATATTTTGTCCTGTGACCCTGTGAAAACTAGAGAGCTGACTCTTTGTCCTTGTTTTTGTTTAAAGGGATTGACTTTCAAACGTGTTGGCGTTCCGACCACCAACGATATCATCAAAGCATCGAGCAAGGACGCATTAAAGTATGTCGCGACTTCAGATATTCTGGTTATGGAATTAGATCTGTACCTGACACATGCAACAGATAAAGGGGAAACTCGAGGAGAAAGAGGAGAGGGGAATAAAAGAGCTGGGGCTTGGGTGAAATATAAATAGTGTGGACTGCTAGGGGCGAATGGCCTATTTCCATGCCATATCGCATGGTAACTGTCTTGTCTTCCTCCCCAAGAAACTACATGTAGACCTGCCCGTTTTTGATTTTAACGAGCCACTATGCCCCAAAACTCTGGAATACTCTTCTACTATCCCTCTGCTTTGCCCCTTCCTTTCCCATCTTCAGGTCACGCCTGAAGATCTTCCTCTTTGACTGTGCCTACGGTCACCTCCCCAGGCTCAGTGCCATGTTCCATCACTGTCAAGCACTCTGAGATGCTACCCTGCACGAGGGAACTATATATGCATATTGGTGGTGTTGAAAATTATGTTTTTCAGATTTTCTCCCAACCAAGGAAAATTCAGCTTTAAAGAATACAAATCTCTAATAGGCAGCACATTACTGCTGCTCCCTGCAGCTTCTCCCCTCCTGGTTGATTTTTCCCCTCCCAAACTCAGGGGCGTGGAGGCCATTTGCAACTCAGACAAGTCACAGGTTGGGATTAGTAACTCAGCATAGAGCTGGATTTGGATCTGGCACTTTTTCCACTTTAGGCTGGTGTTTCCCGAGAATGGGTGTGGTCATTCCAGGGGTGTATGTTTCCCTAGAATGGGTGTGTGTTGCAGCATGTAGCAAGCTTGTACTTCTTGGAAGAGGTTTCCTTGAAATCTGTATAGACCAGTCTTCTGAGTGCAGTTATATGTGGAGTCCCTTAGTGTAGTGGTTAGAGCACTTGGCTCACAAGCGAGAGGTCTCAGGTTCGATTCCAAGGCAGGGCAAAACCTTAGGCACGTTTCCTTACTCCACACCTGTTTACCAAACAGTAAGTAGGTTGTTAGTCGATTGCCGGATCACTTTTCGCGGGGTAATAAACCCTCATAACAAAATTGGTCATTCAGTCCACGACTTGTTTGTGGGACGCTGCTGTGCACAATCAGCTGCTGTGTTTCACTCACAAAATTCAGAGTCCATTCACTTCACAGTATATTCTGTGAAACATTTAGAGATGTTTCAACAATGTGATAAGGAGCTATATCAAATGCAAGGGTTATTATATTATGTCCTGGTCAGGGTGACCTTGTGACTTGCTCCTGGGTTAGTCACACGTGTTGGTTCAGATCTCTGCCTCTATATGTTTTTGTGGCTTGGGTTCACAGATGCCTGGAGTCTGTTACACCGGCAGCGATTGAACTCTTCAATACGATTGCAGAGAAGCTGATAGCTGAGCGCGGTGCCGTGGAAGCCCTGGCTGCTGCCCTGGCACACATCTCAGGAGCATCCAGCATCGAACAGCGCTCGCTCCTTACCTCAGACGCAGTAAGTGCACTGGTCAACACTTGAGATTAATACTATTCTGACTTGATTCTTTCAAACAATTAAGTGGTGATTGTCACATGGTGTTTCCAGCAATTAATGCCATTGTTCTTCCTGCAGGGCTTCATTACTTTAGTCATGTCCTGCTCTGTAGAGATGCACAACATCAGTCTTGCTTGGAAGGAACTCAGGGAGCAGTTCGGATCCGTAGATGATAAAGTGAAGAGGATGAGGTTCCTCAAGGATAAAATGGTACGTCGGTCACATTTATTCCTCCACATCTTTTTCTTTCACTGTGTAAAGCAACTTCCTAAATCCTTCCAAGTATTGAGCTCAAGTTCAACACGCGGGAAGTGGGTGGGGGGGTTGCTGAGCACGGGATCAGTAGTTCTCTAGCTCCTCGCCACTTGTATTTGAGCTGGGATGCACTGATTGGCCACATTCCTTTATTCTAGCTCAGTCAAAATCCTGGAGCCCACGACCCACAGCATGATGACGGGGACTGCAGGGCTTAAAGAACCCTTTCTCCCAGGGCAGCCAGGGTTAAGCAGTGAGGGGCACCATTATAAATACAAGTTGTTGTTGTCGCTGGCCCCGCCAGAGACACCCACATCCTCCTGAGAATACGAAAGCGTGTGGTTCCGTATCTCTTAATAAACTATCCAGTTGTGATATGAGCCCCTACAATACAAGCCTGCTGTAGGTGATCTGACGGGCTCTGTGGCTCTGAACTTGTTCATATCTGAAGTGAAGTGCACAGACCTTCTATTCAGTGACTAACTGTGTGTCTTTGTTTAGGGAGTGTGTTTCGACGTCGCTGTGGCCTCCCTGAAAGAGTTACAGGTACGTCGGCCTTTTTGCTGTGTTACACTGGGTGTATGTGGGTGTGTTACACTTAGTGAGTTTGTGGGGTTTACACTTTTTTGTACGTGTGTTGCTAACCAAGTGGCCTTTCTACCACAGGAGCAGTGGAAGGACTCTCGTCGCTGGCAGCTGTCTGTGGCCACTGAGCTGCCGGAACTTGAGGAGAGCCAACGTGACGGAGACTTCAGGAACCATTCATTCAACGGGAGGGGAGGATTCAACAGGAGAGGAGGAGGGTTCAACAGGAGAGGACGAGGAGGAGGAGGAGGAGGAGGAGGGTTCAATAGGGGTCGCAATGGGAGAGGCACCAAGAGGAGTTTTGACCGAGCATTTGATCGATAGTGTAGATTCCTGCAGCCTGTCAGATACAGAACCAGAACTCATTGTCTCCACCTCCACCATGGAGACAGACAATCTTACAGTTACTGGCTGCCACGCACAGGACAAGGCACCGTGCTGATAGTTATCCATTTATCAGAGATCTCTTCAAAGTTGTTGGGTAAGAACTGGCCGTTAGAAGTCATTTACGTGGATGATGATTTCAATGAAATTAAAGCTTGTTCCTTTAACTTTCTGTGGTTGCTCTGTATTTTTAAGCCATAATAATCCTTTTCATTATCACATCGTTGATACGTCTCAAAGCTCTTCACAGGATATACAGTGAGGTGGAGTGACTGTATTTGTGGGCGAACTGCAGAAGCCAGTTGCACATAGAAACTTACATTTCAAAGAACTTAATGGCTTGTGGAGTCCTGTAGCTCAGTGGTTAGAGCACTCGCTTTGCAAGCGAGAGACCTGAGTTCAATTCCAGGCAGAGGGCGAAACCTTGGGCAAGTTTCCTTACTCCACACAGAGCCTAATAATAATCCCTCCAATAAAAACAAAAACAATAATTAAATTGGTCATTTTCAATCTATGACTGTTTGTGGGACATTGCTGTGCGCAATTGGCTGCCGCGTTCCCCCACAAATATACAATCAACTCACTTTACAGTATATTCTGTGAAGCGCTTTGGGACGTCCTCCCGACGTGAAAAGCGCTATATCAAATGCAAGGATTATTATTATTATTGTGGGACATAGATGTGCACAGGTTGACTGCTGTGTCCATCTACAAATACACAGTCACTACAATTTACAGTAAAATCCTGTGAAGCGCTTTGGAAAGTTTTCAAGACGTGCTAAGGTGCTATATCAAATGTAGGAATTATAATGACAAATTCAAAATTTGGGCTCTTAAGCTGTTTTTTGAAGAAATTTGTGACAATGCAAACTGGGTTAATAGCAGACCGACTCATTGATTTGTTTATTAATGCTTCCCTGGTTCTTAAAAAAAAAAGTTTTTCTAAATTAACTTGTGGGACTAACTACCGTCTGTGACATGAACTGGGTGCTCTCCTCACCATAAGATAAAGAACCCCTTTAAGCACATGGAATCTCATCCTTCTATCTGTACCTTTATCCTGGAGTCTCTGATCCTGTGCTGTGCTAATTTGGATATGTTTCTCCTCACAGCGCGATCCCAGCTTGGGAATCAGAAATCATTTGACCCAATGTAGCTGCTCTACCAACTCATTAATGCCTTTTCTCCACATCCTCACTGTTCTGACCTATCAAGGATACTTCAATATTCTGTCTGGTCTGAGAGTGTGGTCCAAATTGTCACAACTCTTTGTAGAAACATTTTCTTGTGGGCTCCTTTCAGAACTTCATTTTAAATGTGAAAGTTTTATCTTTTGTACTGGAATCCGCCAACTAAAGTGAAGTTACTGGGTCAAATAGATTTGTCAATTGATTTCAAGATCCTCACACTTGTCTTCAAATCCCTTCATGTCCTGGCACCTCCCTACCTCTCCCACTGCTTACTCCCCAACCCACTTCACTCATAGAAACAACATTATTTTGAACATCTCAATCTGATCACCCCTCAGCTTTCTGAACTGGTACCAATATCAGGCCAAGACGAGGGGAGAGGAGTGGGTAACCATGTCCTATCCCGAACAGACAAGAAACAAGTGAAATTTCCAGCCCAATGACTCAGCTGAAAGGGAAGTAATGGTTCGATCACCAAGAAAAGATTAATTGCAGATTACTGAAAACCTTGTGGACCTCCAACGACCTGGGAAATCCACCCAGCGCTGATAAGAGCATAAAGGAAGTGAAACTGGACAAACCTGTTGCCTGCATGAGAGAATTTATCAGGTGTGCACCAGCACAGGCGGTGTGGAGGGAGCAGGGAATGGGATTAGAGTAGAGAACTCCAGTGGGGAGCGAGCACCCGCACAGACATGGTGGGGAGAGAGCAGGGAATGGGACTAAAATATTAGATCTGGAAAACGTTCTTGAAAAATGATAAATTTATTGAATTGATACATCTCAAGAAAAAAAGTTTTGAAACACCTGGTGTCTCCATACCACATCTATCTATATACTAATGAAACAACAATGTCTGCCTGCACTTCAAGAAGGATGTCAATAACCAATCGACGAAGGGACATGATTTATACCTCATCGGAAAGGTCTTGCATCTAGGAGTGATGTGGTCATATTTGTTTTCGGGTATCTCCTATTGTTCATGAGTTATTTTCAGTTTTGCGTTTATCGCTAGTTTCACTGGTGGCCGCCAAGTCAAAGTGGCGCTGTGGCATCGTGTCACAGGGCACCTACGTATGTACACACACACTGCAGTTACACCTGGTGGCTGCGGCAGCTGACCGTAGCACTGTGGCATCCTGCGTCACAGAGCACGCATGTAGCCAGGCGGCAGGAACAGAATAAAGAACACAGATGAAGGTAAGCCGTGGCAATAACAAAATTACATTTTTAAAGTAGAGTCCTCTCTGTGGGTCCTCCCAAAAGGAGTCCTCCCATAGGAGTCCTCCCAGATGAGAATGGATAAAGGGAAATGTCTGTCTGTGTGTCAATCTACTTCCATATTGGATCCTTTGCTGGATTGTTTTCCATGTCACAGGATCAGACACAATGACTTTTCAATTGGGGAATCTAGCTCCTCATTCATTCTCCTTTTGTGCCCTTCCTATCTTCCTTCAGGTGTCTCAACCAACAATCCTCCAGGTAAACAGTTGTGCGTGGGATCTCACTGGGTGAGAATTGTCTCCTGTGTTTGCCTACAATTGGGCTGGTGTTATACGGGCCAGGGAGGGTTGGGACTGTGTGTCGGTTGGGTGGGTGGAGTTGGCTGAGATAGTGACATAAACTAGAACTTGGAACACCTGAATTGCATCCTTTGGGGTCATGGCCACGTGTTGGAGGAGAGACTGTTGGGGAAGTTAAGCCAATGATCCTCAGCTTGGCTTTGGTTCAGGTGGAAAAAGGCATTTTCCTGCAGTGCTGCTGTCTGGTACTTTCTGTCATCTAAAAACACAATAACACACGTCAAAGTTCCCCAAGTCTAGACAGGGTGTCAGCCTGGCTCAATCAGTAGCTTAAAATATGGAGCTGTTTGTGGGACGATGCCATGCACAAATTGGCTGCTGCATTCACCCACAAAGCACACAGTCACTCCACTTTACAGCGTATCCTGTGAATGGCTTTGAAACATCTTCCAACGTGAAAGGCACTGTATCAGATGTAAGGATTATTATTGTTATCCCCGTTCAGCCAAGTTAAGACATTTATTTTAACAAAGTAATATTGAGTCAACCCTCTATGACGGTGTCCAGCCCTGAGCCAGGCTGGCCCACAGTACTCCAGGGCACTGCTGATGACAGCCCAGCCAGCCTGGCTCATCACCAGAACCTGGAAGTGCAGATCAGTCACTGGGGCAGGGAATCCTCCCACTCAGCTCTTGTTAACCCTACAAGCCCAACCCCTAACTGGTAGGGTTGTCCTAGCTGGACAAACAGCAGGAAAGCTTGCCAGACAGTAATGTCAATGGCAAGCTAGTTTTAGCTACTTAGACTCCAGCAGTACCCCAACGCACACTCTGGGGTCCCCAAGGCTTGGCTCCTGCCAATCTGCGCCGAATACTCTCCAGAATTAGGTGAGCAGGGTGTGTCCTTCAGGGAGAGAGTGCGCATTCCATACCAGACACAGAATTTTACATGTGTAGGTAGAACTATTAGAGGTCGGGTTTAGATAGTCTCACGCATGACGATGGGTTTCCACATGTCAGACACCCAGCTGATGAAAGAAAAAGAGTTTACGTGAAAGGTGCTAATAAAGACAAGTTATAAAAATAATAACAATTATAAGTTATGTATAAAAGAAATCCTCTCTGTTAAGAGGAAGTATTTGGTTTGGAAGAATGGTCAATGGGTGGACGTACCAATCAGACTCGAACCCTCCATGGAGCTGAACGTGTCAAGGTCTATGGAGCTGCTGGGCCTGGGGACAGACACCCATTGCTGAGACCTACAGTCTGTGTGCTCCTCACACACATCATGGCTTGTCTTCCTGCAGGACTGAGATTTCAACTGGTCGATTCTCTGTGAAATAGATTGAGGTTTGTTCAGTGTAAACACCTGGAGCAGTCAATGACTCCAGAGCTGGGGGGTACATACACACATTGTCAAAGGTGCCAACATTCGGATGTGACATTAAACCAAGGCCCGTCAGTGTCTGTTCAGGTAGTCAATAAAGATTCCACAACAATCGTCCAGGTAAGTTGGTCATTGTGCAGATTGAAAACAAGCAAAGCTCAGAGAGAAGAGCGTTGGGTCAGCTGAGGGAGCTGGAGAATTGGAATTCAGTAAGGATGCTAAATGTTTACTATCTAAGTTTAAAAGTTAAGACTTAATTAACCGTTTAGAGTAAGTCTGGAGTGGCAGTTAGGCTCCTGTTGATGTGAGCTGAGCTGCCAAGCACCTTGGGACATACTCCCAACATGACGGGAGCTGTGTAAATGTAAATTTGCATTGTATTGTGGAGGTGAGGCTAATTGATATTAATAAATAATATTAATGCTTACATTTGATACAGCGCCTTTCATGTCTTAGGACATCCAAAAGTGCTTCACAGAAATTAGGTAAGCAGGGTGTGTTGTGACTGTGTATTTGTGGGCAAACGCAGCAGCCAATTTACACGTCGTGACCAATTTTATTTGGGGGATTGTCAGGCAGGACACCGAAAGAGAGAAACTCCCTTCTATTTTTGAATAGTGCCGTGTGATCTTTAACATCCACCTGAACAGGCATATAGGACCTTGGTTAAACGTCTCTTCTGAAGGATGGCGCCTCCGATGATGCAGTGCTCCCCCAGCACCATACTGGAGAGTCAGCCTAGACTGAGCTCAAAGTCCCCGACGTGAGGCTTGAACCCACAACCTTCTGACTCAGAGGTGAGTATGTGACTGACTGAGCCAGGCTGAGACCTAGTTAGTAGATGGTGGAGTCTGAGAGGTGGACAATGTGAGACTCCTGCGTGCTTCAGAGCACCGCATGTGGGGGCAGAGTCTCTTAACTGTTTGTTCTTGAGTTCAGAGGGTGTAACCTTGAGGTGCAGCTAGTCAAACTTCATCACATAAATCAAGCAGAAGAGTTTCAGGGAAAGCACACTACACAAGGTGGCCAAAGGCAGGTAGAGATGGGGGCGACAGTGACAGAGTGACATCAACACAGGGAAAGAGACTGAGAGAGGGGGGAGAAGGAATGAGGGAGAGGAGAGGGAATGGAGGAGGAGAGGGAGGGCAGGGAGGTGGAGGGAGGGTAGGAGAGTGAGATTAAGATAGACAGCTCAGTTGGAGAAATAAACCAGCATTGACTTGAGTGGCCTGATTGTGTGCTGTAACATTATGTGATTTAGTGATAAATGAAGATGATGAGGGAGCTTGCCCTGACCTGGATCATTGCGTCTAGGTTTTCATCCTCGCCGGGAAGGGATGTCCTGTAACCTGGAAATCGAAGCAGAGACAGTGAGGATGACGTCACTCCCTATTTGTGGGACACTGCTGTGTGCAATTGTCTGCTGCGTTTCACCCACAAAATACAGTCAATCCAATTTACAACACATTTTGTGAAGCGCTTTGAGACATCTCAATGACACGAAAAGGGAGTTATATCATGTGCAAGGATTATTATTATTATAAACAGAAGCTGAGGGCTGACCTGGACATGGCTCGTAGAGATTCAGTGTTGCTGCTGTTCTTGTGTAGTTTGACGTGAACCAGAGATGTGGAGCATGGTGTCCTCTGTCCTCTGACCCAAGTGGTTGCTCTGTGTTGGAGCCAGGATCCCCAGAGCTAGGCACTGGAAGCAGAAGATAGGGACAGGATAGAGTGGTCAGTGTGAGCAATACACCCAAGGTTAGTATACAGTGAAGAACACATTCTGTAATATCTCATTTGTGGCGTTTTTTTTTGCCTAAGAGACTAATATAACTGAGGGCTTGCCAATGATGGGTGGATAGGTAGCTCATAGATAAGAGTTTGCCTTGGTCTCAATGGGAATCTGCCTAATGATCTGTGGACCCTGGGCTTTGATGGACCAATTTAAATGCCATGTGGTACGTGTCCAGGCAGACCCCATCGCTCCCTGACCGATCTCCCCTCCTCACTCTCCTTTCTCCACAACTCCCTCTCCTCCATTCTGGACTCCCTTGCCTCCCTCACCTCCCGAACTGCCTCATACTCCCATAACTCCTTAACTCTACCTTTCCTCTTCTACCCTCAACTCCACGACCACCTGACAGCCTACCTGTCTGACATCGAGTCCTGGACGAGAGATAACTTTCTTCAGCTTAATGTGCGCAAAACTGAGGCCCTCCTAATTGGCTCGCGTCAGCGCCTCTGCACCTCTGGCGCTGACAGCATCAGCATCCAAGGCTGCACTCTTCACCTCTCAAAGCCAATCAGGAACCTCAGTGTTCTGTTCGACCCTGAGCTGTCCTTTCTTCCCCACATCCGCACCACAACTGGCACCGCCTTCCATCACCTCCGGAACATCGCCAGATTACGGCACTACCTCACCCCTCACGCTGCTGAAACACTGGTCCACGCCTTTATCACCTCAAAGCTGGACTATGGGAACTCTCTCCTCGCCGGCCTTCCCAGCACCTCCCTCCACACTGCAGGTCATTCAGAACTCTGCAGCTCGTGTACTGTCCCGCACCAGGCTTCGGGACCACATCACTCCCACCCTCGCTCGCCTCCACTGGCTCCCCATCCCCCAGAGGATCGAATTCAAGATCCTCATCCTCACCTACAAGGCCATTCACGGCCTTGCACCCTCCTACCTCTCCGACCTACTATTCCCCTACTTACCTGCCCGTACCCTCCGTTCCTCTAGCTCCGGTCTGCCTTGCCACGTCTCACCCATTCTATCCTCAAACTCCAACTGTGAGGAGATGCTGGATTTCCTCGAAACCAAAATCGAGGGCATACGTTCAGCCACCTCTGCCCCGTCCACAGCCACATCACCTCTCCCTCATGACCCAACCCCCACCCATCCCCCCTATACTCCTTCAACCCTATCTCTCCCTCCTCCCTCCTCCCTCTCCGCGATTGTTCGCAAACTCAAATCCACCACCGGCTCCCTCAATCCCATTCCCACCTCTCTCCTCATCTCCCAGCTCACCTCCTGGCCCCTCTCCTGTCCGACATCATCAACCTCTGCTTGTCAACCGGTTCAGTTCCAAACCCCCTAAAACAGCTGTTATCACCCCCATCCTGAAAAAACCTTCCCTGAACCCATCCTTCCTCTCCAGCTATCATCCCATCTCTAACCTCCCATTCCTCTCCAAGGTCCTGGAACGAGTCGTCGTGTCCCAGCTCCGCTCCTTTCTCTCTCGCCATTCCCTCTTTGAACCCCCCAATCCGGCTTTTGCGCTGCCCACAGCACGGAAACAGCCCTGGACAAAGTCACTAATGATGTTCTGAATATCTGTGATCAGGGCTCCCTCTGCCTCCTTGTCCTCCTCGACCTCTCTGCCGCCTTCGACACTGTCAACCACTCCAACCTCATACACCGCCTCTCCTCCTTACTTAATCTTCGCGGACCTGCCCTTGCCTGGTTCAATTCCTATCTCTCTCACCGTCTTCACTTTGGTGCCTCTAACAGTTTCTTCTCCAGCCCCCGCACTGTCACATCTGGCATCCCCCAGGGCTCGGTCCTTGGCCCTCTCTTCCTTAATATCTACATGCTCCCCCTTGGCGACATCATCCGCAGAAATGGGTCAACTTCCATATGTATGCGGATGACACCCAACTCTATCTTTCTGCCTCCATCCTCAACTCCAGGACCACTGCTGTCGTGACAGACTGTCTGTCAGACATCAAGTCCTGGAGGAGGGCAAACTTCCTACAGTTGAATGTGAACAAGACTGAGGCCCTCCTGATTGGCTCGTTCAAGATCCTGGTCCTCACCTACAAAGGCCTCAATGGTCTCGCCCCACCCTATCTCTGTGACCTCCAAACCCCCTATCAACCCGCCCACTCCCTCCACTCAGCTGGCTCTGGCCTGCTCCAAGTCCCTCGACCCACCCGCCCCACCATTTGTGGGAGAGCCTTCAGCCACTCTGTCCCCAACCTCTGGAGCTCCAACCCCCAGTCACTCCGCCTCGTCCCTTCCTCAGCCTCCTTCAAGTCCCAACTCAAAACCCTCCTCTTCGACCATGCCATTGGTCACCCCGCCTTCCCCTCCCCTCCCTTCTCCCCCCTGACCCCAGCTTGTGTCTGAAATGCTGTACACTGTCCAGCGCCTTGGGACGTCCTTCTGATGTGAAAGGTGCTATACAAATGTAATCTTGTTGTTGTTGTTGGTGCCGAGTGCTGGAGTGGTCCTGATATTGCCTGAGCGGATGCTGCTCTGAGCTGTGTATCAAAGTCCACCAGAATCAGCAAATAAAGACTAAACAAAGAAAGTGTGGGGACCTCAAATTAACGTCTGTCAGGAATGTTCCTTCTGACCCTGTCGACTCCCCTGGGGTCTAACTTGTGGACTATCTAAGTGCTCTGAGACACTGTCCTGAGACAAGGTACTAATATAAATCCAAGTTCTTGTTTAGATGGAATTTGTAACTAAGGAATGTGAACCAAGTAAATTGCAATTTCTCCTGTAAGATCCTACTGCAACAACATAAACTCTGGTCCCACCTAAACTAATAATCCTAACCCTATGTTTGATGCAGCGCCTTCAACATCTCAAAGCACTTCACAGGATTTCCTGTAAAGTGTGGTGACTGTGCGCTTTGTAGAAAGACGCGGCAGCCAATTTGCACACAGCAACATCCCATAAACTGCCATGAGGTGAATGGCTAATTTTATTTGAGGGACTGTTGGGCAGGACACCGGGGGAGAGAAACTCCCTTCTCTTTTTGAATAGCGGCGTGAGATCTTTAACATCCACCTGGACACTGATTATCCAGCACTTTGGGACGTGCTCCCAACGTGAAAGGGGCTATACATAACTTAACATTTAGGAGCAGGAGTAGGCCATTCGGCCCTTTGAGTCTGCCCCGCCATTCAATCATGGCTGATCTCCTAATCTAACTCCAGCTAATACCATAACCCTGCCTTATCCCCACATCCCTTAATACCTTTTGCAATAAGACGTGATTTTGTTGTTGGACAGGTAGACGGGGCCTTGGGTTGACATCCCAAAGGACGGCACCTCTGATAGAAAGTAGTACTTCCCCCAGCACCGCACTGGAGAGTCAGCCTCGACTGTGAGCTCAGAGTCCCAATATGGGGGTTTGAACCCACAACGTTCTGATTCAGAAGCGAGTGGAGTGGAGTTCTGCTTCCAAGCGCAGCTGTTGGGAATTCTCACAGAATTCCACGAATCCTGTTATGAAATGCCACTGTAACACCCAATAGCTATGTGGGAACTTTGATTATTTTGTTCTGCTGTTAATTTCGGTGCTTTGAAACGAGTCGCTGCGTGTCACTTACTCTGAATCAGTTTGGAGATATTTGACGACGGCTTTGCTCCAGCACTGGGTACATCGTGTGCCCAAAGTTTCAAACCTCCCGATGTCTCTGTCCGCTTCTGTTTATTATCTGCGCACAAAAGGCCAAGGCACAGATCTCACTCTCCAAATCAAGCAATCTCGAGGAACCTTTTTTTTTGGTTAGCCGGTGTCTGACATGTGCAGAAACCCATCAACATGCTTAAAAGTATCTAAACCTGAGTCCCACAAGGTTTTTGAGAATGATTCCGGGGATGAGGGGCTACAGTTATGAGAAGAGATTGAAGGGACTGGGTATGTTTTCATTGGAGCAGAGAAGGTTGAAGGGAACCTGATAGAGGTGTACACAATGATGAGGGGTTTTGACAGGATAAATAGGGAGATGTTATTTCCATTGATGGGGAGTCAGTGACTGGAGACATAGTTTTAAGATAGTAACCAGAACAGCGCAAGGAAAAGTTAGAAGGAATGTTTTCAACCAGAGCATAGTTGGAATATAATAATACTATTATGTGCAATGCCCTGCTGAGTTAGGATGTTGGAGATGGAGTCCATTCTAGCTTTCAAGAGGGAAGTAGACAGAGGTATGAAAGAAGAGGGGCATGAAGGGGTGTGGGGATAAGATGGGGTGGTGGGATGGAATTGATCTCCTTGCTCTGAGAGCCGGTGTGATTTGATGGGCTGAATGGCCTCCTTCTGCGCTGTAAATTTCTATGTTTCTAGTTGGCACCTAAACATGGAAATTTCCCTGTATGGAATGGAACTATCTCCCTCGAGGGACGCATCCTGCTTTCCTAATCCTCGGGAGAATTAGAAGCATGTTAGCAAAAGTCGAGGCTTGGGGACCCCAAAGTGTGAGTGGGGGTAACTACTGGAGTCTAACCAGCCAAAACCACATAGCTTGACATTGATATTGCTGTCTGGCAAGCTTTCTCGCTGCTTATCCAGCTAGGGTCATCCTACCCGTTACAGCTTTGGCTTACAGGGTTAATAGCAGCTGAGTGGGTTGATTCTTTCCTACCAGGGACTGGTCTGCCCTTCCAGGTCCTGTTGATGAGCAGTGTCCTGGAGTACTGTGAAACTGTCTGGCTCAGGAACCGGACCAGAGACCATCACAGAGGTTGGACAAGTTTTCGACATTCTGTTTTGTCACCTTGTTGGACCCTACACCTACCTACTCACCAAAGGAGGATTGCTCTAAAACTCTATCATGGAACTGAGGCACTTACATTTTCTGGTGCGGCGTTTCTGCAGGGATGGCAGCAATGTGTAGACCCTGAAAGCGTTGCTGCCTTTCCTTATGCTTTTGTCTTGTAGCTCTTTGATATCAGGCAGCGAGTTCAATGCACATCTGAAATTGGCTTTCCAGGTCTTCGGGTCTGGCTTGTCAATGCCAGGCCTGAACTTCCCTGTGAAGGTAAAGCAAAGACTGAAATCTGGATCTGACATCTCACTTTCAAACCCCTCTATGGCCTTGCTCCTCCCTACATCTGTGACCTACTAACCCCATACTGGCCTGTTCGCTCCCTCCACTCAACAGACACTGGTCTGCTTCACGTCACCACCCCACCATTGATGGTCAGCCCTTCAGCCCTTCTGCCCCCACCCTGTGGAACTCCATCCCACAGTCCCTTCACCTTGCCCCTCCCTTGCCTCCTTCAAGACCCATCTCAAGACCCTGCTCTTCGACCGTGCCTTTGGTCACCTTCCTACCTGAACACCCCTGCCTTCCACCCTTCCTGATCCCAATCCTCTGCTTGGGTAAAAATCCCTGACTGTCCAGCGCTTTGGGATGTCCTCCTGATGTGAAAGGCGCGGTGTAAGTGTGAATTGTTGTTGTTGATGTGGCGGCTTTTCCTGCAGAATGACATTGCGGAGCTTGGTGGTGTTGAATTCGGTGAATTAATTCTGTTCCAGGTAGAACGTCCCAAGGAGTAGGGAAAACCAGCATTGCTGATACACAGGAAAGTGTGGGCCAGTGAAGATCGGTACCTGTGTAAACAGCCCATTCTCTGAAGAGGTGGGCATCAGTGTCCATGTTCCAGCTGTGCCGGGCAGCGTGCTTCCAGGAAACTTGGAAGATTTTTAAATCCTGAAACAATCGAGATGGAGACCTCATTGGAAGCTCAACAACAACAACAACAAATTACATTTACACTGTGCCTTTCACATTGAGAGGACATCCCAAGGTGCTGGACAGTCAGGGATTTGGACCCAAGCCGGGGGTTGGGATCAAGAGATGTGGAAGGCAGGGAGGGTAGGGGTAGGAGGATGACTATGGCACAGTCAAAGGAGGCAAGGGAGGCAGCAAGGCTGTGGAGGGTGCGATGGAGTTCCAAAGAGTGGGGGCAGAAAGGCTGAAGGCTTGACCACCGATGGTGGGTCAGGCCAGGCGGGACGACGTGGAGCAGGCTGGAGCCTGCTGAGGGAGCGGACAGGTCAGAATAGAAGCTCGACCCCAAACACAGCAGTAGAGATGAGGAGAACCTCTTTTTGTGGTCACTGTGTTTAGTGAGATGTCTCAAAGCGCTTCACAGAATATACCGTAAAGTTAATTGACTGTATATTTTGTGGGCGAAACAAGGCAGCTATGTGCATACAGCAGTGTCCCACAAACAGTCATGGATCGAGTCAACAAATTATTATTTTTTAAGGGATTATTACCTCTGGAAAAGTGATCCATCGATTGACTAACAACCGAGTTCCTACTTACTGCTGGGTAAACAGAGGCGTGTGGTGTAAGGAAACTTCCCCGCCCAGGAATCAAACCAGGGTCCTCTTGCTTGCGAGGCTAGTGCTCTAACCACTACACTACAGAACTCCATATATAAAGTGTAATAGTAATAACAATCCTACATTTGGTACAACGCCTTTCACGTCGGGAGGAAGTCTCAAAATACTTCATAGGATTTACTGTAAAGTGTAGTGACTGTGGTTTGTGGGTGAATGTGGCAGCCAATATGAGCACAGCAGGGACCCAGAGCAATGTGAAGTGAGTGACTATCTTTATTGAGGGGATTATTGGCCAGGGCAGTGTGAGAGAGAGAAACTCCCTTCTCTTTTCCAATAGCCCTTTGGGATCTTTAACATCCACCTGCACAGGCAGATAAGACCTTGGTTTCATCCGAAGGACAGATGAAAATGAGGCATTCCCCCATTGGAGTGTCAACTTAGACGATGTGATCCCAAGTCCAGACGAGAGTGCTGACAGGCTGACACACGTTGCCTTAACTCAATTTTTTTAGAAATAGAGCAATTGGAAACTTGCAGTCACCCGCACTGAACTCCACCCAGCCATGACTTCAATCCTCGGCAACTCTTAAGCATGGTTTGCAGGGCTATTGGGAGAGAACAGGGGATTGAATTGGATAGCTCTATTGAAAGAGCTGGCACAAACATGATGGGCCGAATGTCCTCCTTCTGTGCTGTATAATTCTATGATTCTATGCTGATGGGCTTCTGCATGTGTTAGACACCGGTTGACCCGAAAAAAGAAGGTAGGAGGGGTACGTAAGTAAGGTAGGAATTCTTAGAGAGAGGTAGGGGAGAGGGTGAGGACAGTTTCCTCTGAACATCTTAATAATAATCTTAATAATAATAATCATAATAATAATGGTTGAAACAAGCCCTGACCACCCCCTGGGTCCCCTTTGTGTTGGTAGTGCCGGCAGTTGCGAGTGTTAACTGCTAGGTAAATAGAGGGGTGTAGCGTAGGGAACCTTGCCTGAGTTCGCCCTGCTCGGGAATCGAACCCGGGGTCTTATGGCTTGCAAGGCGAGCGCTCTAACCGATATACTCCGGGAGTCCACAGACCAGACTCTTAGACCGGAGGGACTGGCTGGTTCACAGGGAGGGAGGGATGGTGGTGGAGAGGAGCTATGCCCTGCGACTGAAGCAGAGAACAGGGCTAAACTGCCCCAGTAAAGCACTCCTTTAGAGAGAGAGAGAGAGAGAGAGAAACAGAGTGTGACCAGAAAACAGCTGTGATCAGCCAAGGCAACCCACCCACCACTGTGCCAAAGCTCTGCCAAACATAAATCATTTCACAAAGCTGGGAGCCAGAAAATATCATAAGAGCATGACAAATGGTATTATACCTCATTAATCCAGCAGAGTCCTGGGATCCGATCCGACTTGATCTGTCTTTCCAACCACGGCCTCAGACGCAGCCGATCGCAAGGCATTGCGAGTTTGTGTAAGTGTGTGAGTGTGAGCGAGTGTGAGGTACTGAGGTCTGTGGCTTGTGAAGGGGGGGGTGGGGGTGCAAATAAAAAGGGAACCCGCAAAACCCACCTTCGCCTCCTGTCAATGACTCTCAGAACGAAACGAGTAAAGGCAGCAACACAGTCAGTGGGTTTGGGTGAGGATGGAGGAGAGACGATGTATAAAATTTCCTGGAAGTTAAGAGATTCTTTCTCGCTGTCAGGCGATCAGTCCGTCAGTCAGACTGTCTACCTGAACCTTGCACAGGCAGAGCAAACAGCCCCTCCCCTCCTTTGAAGTGGGGTGGGGAGGGCTAGCGATCTTTAACTCAGAAACACACACACACCTTTCCCCATATCGTCTGATCTCAGATCCAACTTCTTCCCCACGTGTCTGTGTGAAAGTGCCCCGCATGCATTCTGCGGCTGGGCTCATCCTAAATTCATGGGAAAAATGACTGAAATGAACAAGGAAGTGAATGGGGTGTAGTGGGGTTGAGAGGGGGTAGCGGGTGGGTGAGTGGGGGTGGTAAATATTCCCTTCGCGCCCACAGCTAGGACTGCAGATCTCAGACTCTGACCACAGAGGCAATATATAACCTGTCCCTGAGATAAGGTAATGATCACCTATATTTATTGCCTGCGGTGCACATTGGAACTTTCTCCGGTCACAGCTTATCACTTGTTGGCAGAGTCAGCCTGGCTCAGTTGGCAGCATTCTCGCCTCTGAGTCAGAAGTCAGCCCCCAATCTCTGTAATTCCATCCCCCAGTCACTCCGCTTCGCCCCCTCTTTAGCCTCCTTCAAGTCCCGCCTCAAGACCCTCCTCTTGACCATGCCGTCGGCCACCCCCCTTCCCTTCCCCTCCTGACCCCAGTTCGTGTCTGAAATGCTATACTCTGTCCAGCTCCTTGGGACGCCCTCCCGACGTGAAAGGCGCTATGCAAATATAATCTTGTTGGTGTGGGGTCGAGCCCCACATCGGGGACTCTGAGCTCACAGTCCAGGCTGACGTCCCAGTGCAGTGTTGGGGGAGGGGGAGATAGAGAGCACCGCATTGCCCTTCGGGTGAGACGTTAAACCGAGGCCCCGTCTGCCTGTTTGGGTGCATGTTAGAGATCCCAAAACAATGACATGATAAAGTGATTCTACCAAATGCAAGGATAACAAGAGGAAGTACAGGTTTAGGCAAAGCTGTTAGACTTGTTCTCGCTAACGTGCTGATAAACATCGCCCACAGTTCAGATATGGTTTGTGTGGAAGAGGAGAATGAGCAGGGAGGAGGGACAGGAATGGTGCACTGAAATACCATGGAGCTCATATGTTTGCATCTCATGCACTCTCACCAAAAGTTTTTCACAGCGCCTTTCACATCGGGAAGGCTTCTCAACGCACTTACACTTCCTCCACTTCGACCGTGCCTTCGGTCACCCTCCTACACCTACCTGCCCCGCCCTCCACCACACCATATCCAACCACCAGCTCGGGTGCAGATCCTTGACTGTCCTGCACTTTGGGACGTCCTCCTGACATGAAAGACGCTGTGCAATTGTAATTTGTTGCTGTTGCTGCTGCATGGTAGCCCTGGGAGTGGGAATTGAGGACAGCTGAAAAAGAGATTGTCGAAGGTCTTCCTATTTTCACAACAATCCTTGCATTT